TTCTATTAGAATACAACAGAACAGAATAATATTCTTTATTGGCCAAATGTGATTAGACACACAAGGAATTTTTATCTGATGCATAAGCTCTCAGTGTACATACCAGAATAGTGATAGATTATTATCATAATCATTGTAAAAATACATTCATCATAAAACATTAGATACAACACTTTGATAATCATGAATAATAAATAAGCAATCAACATAAATCATACTGGATACTAAGTAAACTATATAAATCATAAGATACAAGCAACAAATTTATAAGAAGATAAAGAGATAGGAAATAGGGAATAATAATGGTAATATTGGTTTTTTTTAGATAGTTTGATAGTGTTGTGGGAATTCATTGCTTAGCAGAGTGAGGGCATGGGGGAGAAAACTGTCCTTGTGTCTAGTTCAGCGATGGCAAACCTTTTTTGGCTTGTGTGACATAAGTGGGGGGAGTTCAGGGGGGTCATGCGTGGGTGTACCACACCCATAATGCAGTGCGTGACCACTACAGTGCGCATGTGCGCATGACAGGTGCGACTCCCATTTTTTGCATGCTTTTTTCACCATCCCCAGGCTCCAGAGGCTTTATAGGAGCCTGGGGAGGGCGATAACAGCCTCCCCCACCCTCCGGAGGCTTCAGAAGCTTCACGAAAGTGACTTCCGGTTTGCTCATTGAGCCTTCAGGGACCTTCAGGAGGCTTCTGGCCACTTCCGGTTTGTTGGGTCGATTTTAATCTTCCAGAGCCTTCAGGGAAGCCTCCGTAAGGCTCCTGAAGGCTCCGGAGGGTTTAAACTGGCTCTACAAGCAAACTGGAAGTCCCTTCCCGAACTTCCAGTTTGGTCTCTTCCTGTTTTTTTGCGTTCTGGAGGCTCCAGAGGACCTCCATTGGGAACAGGGGAGGCTGTTTTCACCCTCCCCAGGCTCCTATAAATCCTCTGGAGCCTGGGGAGGGCAAAAATGACTTTAAAAAAGGCTGAACGTGGCAACGCCTCACATGCCCTGACAAATGGCTCTGCATGCCACCTGTGGCACGTGTGCCATAAGTTCGCCATCCCGGGTCTAGTTGTTCTGAGGTGCAGGGCCTATAGCCGTGATGGCGAACCTATGGCACATGTGCCACAGGTAGCACACAGAGCCATTAGTCCAGCCAGTTGACTTTGGCCTTCTTTTGAGGCAATTTTTCATGCTCCCTAGCTTCCCTGAAGCCTCCGGAGCACGAAAAACCGGCCCTACTGGCAAGTGACTTCCTGTTTGCTTGTAGGGCTGTTTTTCGCCCTCTGGAGCCTTCAAGAGGCTTCCTTGAAGGCTCTGGATGGTGAAAAACAGCCCTAAGGCCAAACCGGAAATCATTTCCAGTTTGTCCGTAGGGCTGTTTTCACCCTCCGAAGCTTTCCGAGCAAACAGGAGTGACTTCTGGTTTGGCCATAAGTCTGTTTTTTGTCCTCCAGAGCCTTCAGGCAAGCCTTCTGAAGGCTCCGGAGGGCAAAAAATGGCCATACGAGCAAACCAAAAGTCTGTTCCCAAACTTCCAGTTTGCCCAGAAGGCTGGATTTTCACACTCTGAAGGCTTCAGGGAGGGCCTCCAGGTGGGGGGAGGCTGTTTTCACCCTCCCCAGGCTCCTAGAAAGCCTCTGGAGCCTGGGGAGGGTAAAAAAAAGAGTGCCAACAGTGAAGGGGGATCTGGTCACACATGCAGGTACACAGAGGGGGGAAGCATGCACATGTGTGGCACGCCCGCGTGTGACCCCCTTGCACTCCCCCCGCTTTTGGAATGCAAGCCAAAAAAGGTTTGCCATCACTGGCTATAGCATTGTTTTGAGGGTAGAAGTTGAAACAGTTTATGTCCAGGATGTGGGGGTCTGTAGTTATTTTCATAGCCCTCTTTCTTGTCATGCAGTATACAGGTCCTCAATGGAAGGCAGATTAGTAGCAATTGTTTTTTTCTGCAGATCTAATTATCCATTGAAGTCTGTGTTTGTCTTGATTGGTTGCAGAGCCAAACCAGACAGTTATCAAGGTACACATGACAGACTCAATAATTCCTTGGTAGAATTATTGGGTGGTATTCATTAAACAAATGAAAGAGGGACTGCTATGTTCACAGTTCTTTATTGGTTCATAATAATCTAAAATCAATAAATAATAATTAATGACATCTGGACTAAGAACAGGCAGACCTTTGGGTTGAGTGGCCACATGGGAATACTGGGGGAATACCCTGCAGGTGCTGCCTCAAAATGGCTGCCATGAGAGGGATTTTTTTTTGTTCTTAAAATAACTGTTCTGTTGAGCAACAGCAGTCACAAAATACTGGTTTATCCAATGGCAAACCAGGTTTCTTACTTTCTCTTCCATATTTTTCTTCCTTCCTTCTTTGCAAGGCACTTAACTACAGAAACAAGGCCATACATCTGTGGACTTCCAGAGGTATTTTTGTAGTTAAACATGGTGTTAGAAGCTGGTACTTTGCTTTGCAGCAGACCAGGTGCCTAGTAAAAAAGAAAAATATGAGGAAGATGAGGAAGCAAGGCAGTTACTGAGAAAGATATTAGTAGGCACATTGACATGCACTGATGCCGTGATAGAAAAGTATCTATTTAGCTGTAATTTAACTATACCCTGAAAATAAAGTCAATATTGAGTAAACCAAAATAGCAGATCCATACAATTATTTAAAAGCTTGATTCTAAAAAGAACATACCAGTATTATAGGATGGTAACCTAGGATACAAGAGACATTCCACTGTTTATTTGCAATGATAATTTGCTCCATTTGTTAGAAGGCTGCATCCTTCGAAACTGAGGGCTCCTCTGTGTCATTATAGGATGTCCCTTGTTTAGGAACAACCTCATTTTGTGACTGTTTGCAGTCATGACAGTGCCAGAAAATAAATTTACAACCAATCCTTGCTGTAAAGCAAAGGAAACCTGAGGTAAGATTATAACCAAAGTCACCATTTCATTCAGCAGCTAGTTTGCTTAAGTTGTCAATCCCAATTGTGGTTGCTAAATGAGGACTACCTATATACATATGCAGTATCAGGTCATCTGGTACAAAGAGGCAAAATTTGTTTAACAGATCTTTTCTATATAAGGAATTGACATGCATTATTTACAACTAGAGTTAACAATGCATTTTTCAAATTTGCCAAACTATTCTGTAGCAGCATTTGAAAGTATATTCTTTGTATGCTGTGTATTAAACAGTTAAAATAAATATTATATAATAATTTGCATATACGACAGACTTGTTGAGAAAGATGTGCTTATGATCACATTGAATTTTCCTCACTCAGCTGCTTAAATATGTGAATGTATAGTAATAAATTTGAAGACTCATTAGCCGGGAATCTTCACATTCTCTTAATTCTCATGCCCAATTACTTCATTTTCAAACTTCCTCATTTTCTAATCTATTCTCTTTTCCTTCTCCTTCTTCCTTGCATTGTTTCTTGCTTAAGTCACATACTGTATATTTGTGATGATCGATAAAGTTCTAACTTGCTTTTTAGCTTATTCCTTAAATGAAAGGAGATTTACTGACATATTTTGTTAATGTAGGCTCAGGTGAGTAGGGAGCCATTTTGGAAAAAAACACTATAATCTATGCCATTTCTCTATACAGCTTTCTTGTATTCAAGGATTGAGCTGAATATAATGATTTAGTGTCATATATCAGGTTGGACTTTGGCTCATCTGTTCCAGTGTGACTGTATACAGGAGTGTAAAAGCATATACTATGTAAAGATAGACTTATAAACTATAAGTATAGATTATCTTAAGCCAGAAAGCCTGGGGAATTCTGAGGGTTGAAGTACACACCTCCTCAAATTGCCAAGTTTGAGAAATGCTGCAAATACAGTACTAGTTACTAATTGTCTTCTAGGACTCAGGCAAGGTTTTTTTAAAAAAAAAAAATCTGGAATTGCTAGGAATTAAATCTGTATGCTACTCTTGAGTTCTGATGCTCCCTCTGTCTTATTTCCAGCTTACTTAAGTGGGAAATGGTCAGCAGTACTCAATTGTATCTCAAAGAAACACAAAACATATCTATGGGAATTCAGTTTATTTAATATACTGACTTTCCTATATATATTATATTAATGGAAACTGCTATAATAGTACTCATCTCAGTTTTGTTATAGCTGTTTCCCATTCATGGGAAAAATATTTTGTATTTGCTTAACTATTTGTAGGACTCCTTCATATTTTCTGCTTGTTATAAGACGCATTTGAAATAAATGTTCATCTCTTAAAGCAGCAAAGCTTATGTATACTGAGCCAAGCTTCTAGACATTGATACTATTTATGGATCAGCAACTGAGTTTACAAACTGGGTGTAGATGTCTGTCATTTCAACATACATACTTAGATTCAAGATATTAAAAGCAGCAATTTCTACTACTGAAGGCAGTATCATTTACAACCATTTATACCCTGTTCTTCAGCCTGGAAGATTTCTTGATATATTTATGGAAAATTAAAAAATCTCTACTTTTAGGCCTGCAATCCAAATAATGCAACCGAAAGGAAAATGGATAGGAAAAAGAAATGAAAACAAAATAAGTGTCCATGTACCGTTAATGTTTAATGCCTCTTATAATGGCAAGCAATAAAATGTGAACTATGCAGTGGGATTATTCATTAATACTGTCAGCCTAGCAACATCATTTTAGCAAGGGATCTCTCTTGCTTTAACTCAAAAAAGCCCTTGATCTCAGTATAACCGTGACAGTAATAAATAGAGTTGTTTGTTACCTATCTCTTAGGTAAAGGAAAGCAAATTAAATTTGGTAATGACTGCAGAGCTTCCCCCCCCCCCTGTGCTTTTTGATGTACATTTTAAATTGAGCCTGTTTGTATGACATAGCGAATCTAGTTATTGTTCCTGATCATTTGATCCCAAATTGATTAACTGACAGGTACATTTTTATTCCTTCCAGTCACTGAAAAGATGGTTGAAAAGCTGTCATTTTCCTGCCTGTGTCTGAAAGGGTGAATATTCATAATGGCACTGTTGGGGTGAGCACTGCTATGGACATACATCATGGCTGAAGATGCTGAACGCATTCCCATCTGTTCCTGCTTCTTTACATCCTCTCATGTAGTCGTGGGGAAGAAATGAAAACAGAAAAGGGCAGAGTGGTTGGATGACATAAGAAGAGTTAATTAACGGGGTGAATCAGTTTAGTTCAAATAAGACTGGATCTGTGATTAAATGTAAAACCCTGTATTGGATGGATTTAGATATTGCCTCACCATCCTTAATCAATCCCCAGCTCCTCATGTTGCAATTGTGTTGTAAAAATAGTGCCTTTTCATGTATCTGATAGACAGCATAATGCATTTAAAATACATGGATCAATTGAACTGCTCCTAAACTTAGTTCATATCTTTGTGAAGGATCATGTGCTGACAAAACTTCTGCATGAGGACAAAATCTGGACAAAGATGCTTCTTTTGCCTCTATACGGTCCCTGAGGGAATAGGTGAGTAGCCAAGGCTATTCAGTATTTCAGTGACAGGGTTATATAACGTAACATCATAACTCTCACATATGTTCTCTAAACATGTAAAATGATCGTTTGAATTTCTTCATTCTTTGACTGAAGTATGCTTGGATTTCTTGGAAAAATTTGATCAATAAAATATTAGAGGAGTGCAATCCTTTATTTAATTGCCAAACTAAGATTTAGCCATACCCTTTCTCTTGGGAACTCTTTGGAGAAAATTCATTTAAAAGGATATTTAATACATTTATTTCTCAGTTGTGTTGCCTAATTTGGTCTAGGTGGTTACTTCTTGTTTCCATCTTTTTAAAAAAACTGTGGCACAGTTGTATAGTGAAAATAGTTGTTTCAAAAGGGTCACATTCTTTCTGTGGTAGCTCATGTTATTTCAGCATGTTATGGAAAATTTTGCTACAAGAGAAAATTACTGTCATTCTAACATTTTAAATACACAGTCTGAAATGTTAAGATGGTTATGAAATCAGTTAAACTTTGTTTTTCCATTCTCCCTATACACACACACCCCTTTATACAGACATCAATTTAAAACCATCTCTGTTTAATATTCATTTTTCTGTTCCTCATTCTCTATCAATGATTTCAAAAGAAATGGCAACAATGTAGGCTTAGTTTAGATTAAAATATCTTTGGAAGCAAAAACAATTTTTGTTATGTCTGGCATTATAACATTATTGGCCATGATGAAAACCACATGATACTTAAGCACTAAATTCTATTATTGTTAGAATATTAATCTTCTGATAAAGGCCTACATAGCCAGGACATGTTCTCAGAATGTGTTTATTTCTGCCCAGGCTGCTCTGCTTTTCATTCTCCTTCTCCATTTCAGACCTTACTTACAAAATGTTTGTATTGCATAAGTCTGCAAAAAAGTGCAAAATATTTTTTCCTGTGCAATAGCAAGGAGGAGAGTTTGCAAGATGCATTGCATTAGACATATTCTCTACATAATTTCCAATTTTTAGCTCAGCTCTAGATCTTGGTACTTAAATGCCATGATTTTAGGATCTTGAGGTAGATAAATGAGAATTCTATCAAGGACTTGTTTGAATTGCTTGCTTTGATCCCAATATTTTATATGCCTCTCATGTCAGTGGATCTCAGTATTTCTAGGTGTTACAGTCTTGGGGCCAGGCAGAATAGCAGCAAGAGGTTCAGATTCAAAAATTAATTTCTGTTTATACTTAGTGTTATCAAAATAATAAAACTAACTTAGCAAAGTAATTTAGAAATATTTATAACCATCAGTAAGATCTTGAAATTGATGAACATCAGTTTCTATTGATGAAAATGCATGGAATCATTTTATGTTACTATGTTTTTAGTAATGCAATAAAAAGATAAATATTACTATGAATATATTGAAACAAAATCTTAATGTTAACAGAGATAAATAAATCATATTTTAATACCATATTTGCATTTTAATGTCCTTTGGGAGTATTGGTAATTTTATTTAAAATGGTTTCCTTATTATTTTGTAAGAAGGTTTTGTGCTGCTTTGAATAATAATCAGTCTATGCTATAGCTAAGGGCCTCCTGTTGGTCTCATATCCAAGTGCTAACCAACTCAGACTCTGATTCATTTTTCCAGATCAGTCAAGGTTGGCTAAGTATTGCCCCTTGTTAAGGAATAAATAATTGGATCAAAAAAGCAATTTTTATATGTGCCACAACACTGAATCATCTTCCAATTAGTTGTAATCTGCCATATTTCACCTGCGGTAATTTATTTTTAAAGTTCAACTGATGTATTAAAAGTCCAACCTTTTTTGGGGGGGGGGAAGTCTGGATATTAAGTGAAAGTTTGCATTTTAGCACTGTTTGCTTTGGTGCTTAATTTCACCTGAACTCAGATTTTTAGTAGATGATAAAATACTTCCAAAAAGTGCAACTCTTTCAAAATTAGCATAGTAATTACAATAAGGATAATTACTTGCAAGGGTGGGCTGCTACAAGTTCGCCCTGATTTGGGAGAATCCATAGTTAACATTATGGCTGGTTCAGAGAACCTCCAAATCCCACCCCTGACTGGCCCCACCCACCATGCCACCCCATCCCACCAGGCCCCTCCCAGGAGTCTCCGTGTGGCCCGCTTTGGATGCAATGTAAGTGCAGGGCCTATGCGGAGGCTCAGGAAGGGGGAAAATGGGCCTCCTGGAAGGCCTCCAGAGCCCAGAGGAGGCAGTTTTCGCCCTCCCAGAGGCTTGAGGAAATACTCTGGAGCTTGGGGAAGGCAAAAACGTTCCCCTCCCCCACCCTAGTGCAGGAAGCTTACTAGGCCACCCCCACCATGGCTACACCCACCCAGCAACTGAACAGAGAACTCGTTGCTGAAATTTTTGAAGCCCACCCCTGATTACTTGGAATTACTGATTATGATAATTTTTGAAATTACAAATATTTTAATAATCTACTATATTAAGGGATAAATAAAATAACTCTAATGCCAATTAATATATGAATCTATTTTTTATTTTAAAAACCATATTAGTAGATTATAGACAGACTTATATACGAACACAATCTACCTATTTAAATTAGCTAAAATGTGTATCAAAATCTCCAATATTCAATAGAAGACTGCATAAAAATCATCAAGCATTTTGTATACCATTCTACTGATGTACTGCTATTAGTTTTGTAATATAATGTTTTCTAATAAAATCACTTTTAACAATGGAGATAATGGTTTTTTATTTTATGAAAAATATTAATCTCCTGACAGTTTTGTTTCCCCTTAGAATAATATTTAGATAATTTAGGTTTAGAATACAGGCATAATTGCTAGTGGACATAACCAAATTCATCAGATGGGGATTATCTCATACTATTTTGTTTAAAAGTACTCAGTATTCATAATAAAAACTACAGCAAAATATTTATCATGTTTATAAATAGCAATGTTTTCTTTGAGGTATTTGCTAAGTAATTTCCTTGTTTCTAAAAACATGCTATGCATACTTATTTGAGATCACAATGAGAATAATAACATTTACTTCTAAATAGACATACATAATTGGACTGTATATTAACTATAGTTTTAAACAGACTTATTATCCCAAACTTGTTAGAGGCAGTCCTCAGGTTACAACAACTGATTCAGCAATTGTTCAAAATTACAATGGTTCTAAACAAGGAGGACTTATGACCAATCCTTGGAGCTCTGGCTGTTACAGTGTCTCTGTGTTAAGTGATCACTGGGTCATTCCAAATATGTCAGTGTGGTCTGTCACCAGTTCTGTAAATTGCATATATAACCTCTGACAAAAGAAGGAGATCCAGACTTTGACAAAATTGCTCTCAAGCAGCCTTTTTATGCACATTAATCACTTTACCTGAAGAGCTCCAGAAACTGAAGAAGCAGAAATGACACATTGGTGGAAGGAGTAAAAAAAAAAAAGAACTTTTTCAAATCATAGATGTCCAGAGGGTGGGGGAGAAAGAAAAAATGCATCATGACACTGTGATAATACTTGTTCCTTTTGTACATGTGTTGTGATATCACTCACAAGTACGTGTTATACGTATTCACAATATCACTCACAAGTATGTATTATATTTTCATCATTACGTCACAGTGTATATTTCATTACCCTATTAAAGACCTTGGAATCTGCAGATGTCTTTGGCTTGCATACAAGTACAAGCTCATGTTTGCGCTGACACTATAGCAATGGGGGAGGCAATGTGTCAGTACTTCTCCCTTATTGCATCAGTGAACTGTCAGCAGTCTTACTGAGGATGGCAAATTCCCTATTAGGAAGGGATGAACAGGTAGTTCTCCTACCTCATTACTGTGTCCATTTTGCATTGGGCTGGTACCAGGCCATTCAGGTTTGAAAAGGCCTTGGCTCTTCCTGGGCAGATTTTGATGTGCTGATTGGGGCAAAGTCTAATTGTATTATCTGCAACTCCTTTCAGCTACTATGTTTTGAGGAAGTAAGGATGCTACTGTCTCAAAACTTCTGCCATTTGTGGGCTTGATCTAAATCTGTCTTGATTTTTGTGGTTGAGGTATTTGTGATAAGTTGAACCTAGAAGGTGTTCACTTGGTTTGTGGGATGCTAGCAATCCTGAAGAAGACACTTGCAGGCTACTTCCGCAAGAGGCTTTAGGTCACAGGTGTAAAACTCATGGTATCACGCAGGGGTGGGTTGCTCCCTGTATTACTGCGCATAAATTTTTTTTAGGATCAACTAAAAGGATCAAACAATCTAGAAACATTAGCACTTGGTAGAGCAGCCCTGAAGGCCTTAGAAGAGACACTCAGATGCTTTGATGTCTCTATACTTACAAAGATCGGAATTGTGGAAGCTATGATATTCCTCATGACACTCTATAGAAGAAAAAGTTAAACTTTAAAGAAGCAGGATAGTGCACCATTGGCAGACTTGAAAGAACAGGTTAGGGATAGGTTGTCATGGAGAAAATCTATGTGGTTGCTAGGAGTCAAAAATGACAAAATGGCTCACCATAAACAAACATTGGTTCATTCATCCATGTAACAAACAACACAGAGAAGATTAGGAGTGCAGTTTTTAATACACTTATTACAAAGTAAGTTTTATTTATTGAAATGTACTTATGGGTGAACATAGAGCATGCAGGATTCTATTGTTGTATATCTACAAAACTGTATATGTTTATCTGGAAATATGCCCTACTTAACACAGTGAGACATTCTATCAACAACACTAAAAGAGACAGATATTTTTTTTTCACTTTTCTTTATTCAGTAAACTCCAATCTATATACTGAGACTTGAGAAAGATAAGCAGGTGGGGAGAGAAGGAGACAGGTCAGGAGACAAATGTGAGATACTTTTTACATTGAGAAGAATCTTCCATCTGTTCTTTCCATATCAGATTACTAGATACAATGGTTAGAGACTGAATTTTGATAGGATAAAAATTAAAATGCAAAACAAAGACCGTCAGCCTGTTAGATCAGGTGTT